GAGTGTTCCATCTCATTTCCCTTTGGGGTTGCTGTAGGTGATCTGGAAGTCTGGTTTTGAGACTTATTTATGTGTTTTCTCATTTCGACTGTGGGGGCGGTTGTGGTGCTGTTGGCCCTGTTCGGATCACCTCCTCTGAGCTGGGAGAGGTGAGACAGGGGCTGGGAGAGGCAGGAAGGATGGTGGCCCGGAAGCCCCTTCCTCTGGACCAGGAGCAGTGACATGGGAGCTCAGAAGCCCCTACCTCTGGGCCTGGAGTGGCGGGAGGGATGGTGGCCCAGAAGCCCCTTCCCCTGGGCTGTGAGAGGCAGGAGGGATGGTGGCCAGCAAGACCCTTCCTCTGGACCATGAGCAGTGGGACAGTGGCTCAGAAGCCCATTCCTCTGGGCTGGGAGTGGTGGGAGGGATGGTGGCCCAGAATCCCCTTCCTCTGGGCTGGAAGCAGCGGGAGGGATGGTGGCCGGGAAGCCCCTTCCTCTGGACCAAGTGATGCTATTGTTGAGTAAAATTAATTCCAACTGATCAAATGGTAGATTTTTTTTTTCTTAATGGGAGCCCAAAATTTGTTCCTTGGCACATTTTAATAAATACTTTTAAAGTTGTATAAATTTAACAGATATCCTCTCTATGTTGATATGCTTTTTGTAAAGGTCATTTTGGCTTAGAAATCGATGGTAACATTCAACCATCCCTAGAATAGCTTTTAAAAGAATAGCCACAGAGAAACTGTAGAAATAGCTACAATAATTATGGAAACTTTCTCACAAGTGTTTACTTTGAGATTTTCAGTGTGACAATATTTGCTACTGGGAAAAATCCTCACTATATTATAGTTTAGTGGGTGGGTATATCTCTCCTATGTAAATTAGTAGCTACTTTATGGCCAGATGTCCACATTAACATTTTATTCATATCATCATGTCAGTTGAAGTAGAAAAGTGCTGCGTACTGTTCTGATGTTGTTTCTGATTTCCAGGAAATGCCCTAAATGGAAATGTCAATATGCTTGAAATATATAGAGAACAAAAATTTGTAAACATTCAATGAAGCCATTTTGTTATTTCTCTATTCCAACAGAAACTCTACATATTGCATGAAGGTGTCAATGTCCTTGACCGTTGCAGAGAATGAATCAGGCCTGTGCTACAATAGCAGGATCCGCTACTTAGAAAAATCTGAAGTCACTAAAAGAAAGGAGATTTCCTGCCCAGACATGGATGATTTTAAAAAGTCCGATCAAGAGCCCGATGTTGTATGGTACAAGGTAACTCAGCACGGTGTCAAATGCATTTTGACCTCAGTCAGTACCAGGATTGGGGATAAGGAAAGGGATGGGATTTTATTCCAAATTTTGGTATTAAATATTTCAGTAAGAATCAACAGACCCAAAATTAAATAATTCAGAGATGTTGCTCTATATATCCCTAATTTCCATGGATTTCTATCAACAGGTGTCAGAAGTAATTTACCTTCCCCAACTGCTAAAAATAAGTAAGAACCCCCTCTACCCCAACTAATAAGAGTAAATGGAAAGAAAGGTAAAGGTTTAAATAGCACATGCAATAAAGTATTTTCAGAATATATAAATATTATTTACTTTTGGGAACAAAGGCCAATCATTACAGATACTAGTACTTACAAAGGATAACAAACAACTGTTACCATGATTTACAGTATGGGAGCTATTGCAGTGAATGCCAAGTAGAGAAATGGGTTAGGGTAGCATGTGTAAACATTACTAAGTTTAGCTCAAAACAAGTTATACTCAAAGGTTGAATGTAAGAGAGTTGAATGAAGAGTTTATTTACAGAGGTATGGGCAGGGCTGCAGGAATCAATAAGGGAGGAAGCTGCCAATTATCATCCCTAGGCCTGCAGCAGAGAGAAGGAGCAGTGTCACTTGAACCTAGGAAGAGTGAAAGGAGTCTGTCAAGAGCTGTGGCCTTGGAAGAACATAGGAAGGTAACAGATAGGGGTGAAATGGGCAGGATCATTCTACTAACCCCTCTTGATTCCTGCCCCCTGGTTTTCTGCTAACCTCTCTCCCACAATTTGAACTCAAATAGAAGTAAAAGGGTAATGGTAGTAGATAGACTCGATACTCTTCAGCTTCCCTGGGCATAGAAAAGGGCAGAGAATGAATCTAGGGAAGAAGCAGAGAATAACTACATAATCTTACAGTTATGATATTTTGACTGCTAGCCTGGGGCTCTCATGGTCCCAACACAAGACTGAATAGTCTATGCTGGATCTGAGCCACAACAATTGAGACACTATACAGTTTTGCATATGGTAGGTGGAGGTGAACAACAAGGATTTTTGTACAGGTACTGTGAACACTGTTGGAGCCAAATGTACATGAGAGTTGGAGTTCATTCTTTCATAGGATTCTATAGACCTTCAGTTCCCAGGGAAACCTAAACCATACTTCCCACAGATGTTAAGTAATTTTATATTTGGAAGCCTCTCCATTTTCACACATAGGGAAATTTATTAGTGAATAAACACCAAAAGCATTTTCTGAACTATGCATACTCCCTTCATTGTTTTTCTTAATGAAGACAATCTGGTCTTAGACAAAAAGAACATGATATTTATTATACATAAACATAGGCATGCAGATAATTTATTAGGACCTTTCATGTCATCATAAATACCTTTGTCTTTATTTAGAAGTTGTTATGCCTCATACATCCACTGTACTAAGATTGGTATCTACTTGATCTCATTTAAGTTTTTTTTTTTTTTTTGGTACTGGGGATCGAACTTGGGACCTTGTGCTTGCAAGGCAGGTGCCGGAACCCTGAGCTAAATCCCTGGCTCTCATTTAAGTTTTAATGCAGCTCTGTGATGTGAGTGCTATTATTTTCATTTAATAGTGAAGAAAAGGCATAGAAAGATGTAACTAGTCCAAAGTTACCCAGCTAACAAAGTCAGAGTCCATTTTCTTAATTCTTACTCTTTTCTGCAATGACCGGCTCCCTTGATTAAAAGCACTTCTGTAAGATACAAAGCTGGTTCAGAGGAGCCAAGCAAAAAAGAGAGTAAGACCTTATTGCAATTATATGGGTGAAGAAAGTGAGTTGACCTGCCTAAGAATTATTATCTAGAGGTAAAATGCAGGCAATCACCCTCCTTTTACAGCCCCAAATTCTATTATCTCATCTTTCCACTCTGCTAAACTCTTTTTCCAGTTCCTCATCACTATCATTACAAATGGGAGCAATTCACTCCCTGGGAAATGGTACCCCTCCCTCTTTCTCACAAATGGAGCTAGAGTAGAAAAGCAAAGTCTTTTCCACCTCTTTCTAAATAATTTTAAAATGTATTTTTATAATTAAATTGATTTTTAACTGATATAAACAAAATTCTACATATCAATGGACTGTACACAATGTTTAAAATGTGTATACATTATGTAATGTTTAAATCAGATTAAGTATATCTGTCTCCTCAAACATTTATTATGCCTTTGTGGTGAGAACATTCAACATCCTCTCTTCTAGTTGTTATATAATACCCAATACATTATTGTTGTCTATAATTACCCTATTGTGTAGTAGTACACCACATATTCTTGCTCCCAAGAATCACTGTAACTTTAACTTTGTACCCATTGAACGTGGTTTCCTCATCTCTTCCCTGCCTACACTCCCCAATTTCTGGTAACCACCATTCTAATCTCACTTTTTATGAAATCACCTTTTTTAGATTCCACGTTTCAGTGAGATGATGAAGCGCTTGTGTTACTGTGTGCAGCTTATTTCAAATAACATAATGATCTCCAGTTCATTAAATAGAACTGGAAATAGGGAAAATGCTTCATGACATTGGGATTGACAAAGAATTTTTGGAGAAGACCCGAAAACAACAGCAAACCAAAGCAAACATAGAGAAATGGGATTATATCAGATGAAAAAGTTTCTGTATAGCAAAGAAAAAATTCAACAGAGTGAAGAGATAGTGGGGGAAAAATAGAATGGGGGAAAATATTTGCAGACTCTACATCTTACAAGGGGTTGATATCCAGAATATATAAGGAATGCTAAAATTTCAAGAGAAAAAAAAAGAAATAGAAAAAATAGCCAGATTAAAAATGGATGAAGGTCCTAAATAGATATTCCTCAAAAGAAGACAAATGGCAATCAGATATATTAAAAAATGCTCAGCATCACTAATCAGAGAAATGTAAATCAAGATCACAATGAGATACCACCTCACTTCAGGAAGAATCGCTATTATAAAAAATCACTAAAAATAATAAGTGCTGCTAAGAATGGGTAGAAAAGTGAATCCCTTTACAGTATTTGTGGGAATGTTGATTAGCACAGCCATTATGAAAAACAGTATGTAAGTTCCTGAAAAAATTAAAACTACAATCACTATATGATCCAAGGTCTTTTTGGAGGTGGCTGGATCTAGCATGTGTGATGGTGGGATTTATTCATGGTGTGAAGGTAAGATTAAGGCTGCCCCACCCTTGGTGTGAGCGTTACGTGGCCTAAGGTTAGGTAGCCTGGATAAGATATAAAGGACAGAGGATCGCTGCCTGTCACTTGCTGCTTGGTGCCTGCTGTCTTCTGCCTGCCCTGCTTTGCCACAGATTGTTTTTCCTCTGCGTTGCCCCTCTGTCCTGTCACCCTGTCTTGGTCCCAGACAATTATAGACTGAAACCTCTACAAGCTGTGAGGCAAAGAAGCCTTTCCTCCTTTAACAATGGATGCCAGGCATTTTGTCTTAGCAGTGAGAAAAAAGTAACTAAGACAGTACCTTTGCAATATGTTTTGAAGTCAAGTAGTGTAGTACTACTGCACTCTGCTTTGTTCCTTTTATTCAAGATGGCTTTGGGTATTCAGTTTTATTTTGTGGTTCCATATAAATATTAGGGTAGTTTTTCTAGCTTTTTTGAAGAATGCTATTGATATTTTGATAGGGATTCCATTGAATCTGTAGATTGCTTGGTAGATACAGTATTTTAATAATATTGATTCTTCAAATACATGAAGGGATGTTTCTCCATTTTTTGTGTTAAATTTGACTGTTGACCTTTGACCTTCCCCTACCTGAATACTTGTATCTCTTTCTAGGTTTGAGACATTTTCTGTTGTTTTTTTCTTTGAATAAACTTCATACCACTTTGGCATTCACAAGTCCTTGTTGAATCCCGATAGTCCAAATATTTGGGTTTTTTTTTTAACATTTCTTAATTCTTTTTTTAATCCCCTCTCTTCCTTCCTTCCCCCTCCCTGTATCTCTTAGACCCCATATATATATACATATATATACATATATATATATATGTATATATATATATATATGTAGTATTTGTAGTATATAATGGTCATATTCCTCATAGGGATATGGCACATTTATGAAGCACTTCATAATGCCCCCATTTTTTAATTCATTAATTTTTTTGTTACATTTTTAGTATACAATATGATGGCATTCATCATTGGGAATTGAAAGGAAAGGAATAAATATGAGAAAATGAAAAAAATGGAAACAAAGTCTTTGTAAATAGGTAGGGGTGAAGGGATTGAAGGGAGGGCAGGGGAATGGGGAAAATAATACCCCCATTTTTAATCTCATCTCCCTCCCCTTCTAGCCCCCTCCTTCTATTTCTTGGTTCCTTTCCCATATGCCAAAGATCCATATCAATGTTTTCTATTATATATCTTTTATTTTACACTTTATTTATATATTGGGTTTTTCATATAAGACAAACCATGTGATCTTTCAGGTTGTATGTCTCATTTACTTCACTTAACATTATGGTCTCAAGGTACATTCATTTTCCTACAAATTACTTAAGTTTATCCTTCTTTATGGCAGAGTAATACTCTATTGTGTATAGATAACACATTTTCTTTATCCATTTGTCTTAGTTACTTTTCTCATTGCTGAGACAAAATACTCAACACTCCAGGTTAAAGGAAGAAAGATTCTTTGTAGCTCACAGGTTATAGAGGTTTCAGTCCACAGTTGGTTGGCTCCAAGGGAAAGTGGCATGGTAGAGGGGCATCACAGAGGAAAAATAGTTCATGGCAAAGCAGGGCAGACAGAAAGCAGCAAGCAGAAAGCAATGGCAACAGCTCTCTTTCTGTCCCTTGTATTCTATCCAGGCTACCAGACCTTAGGGTGGATAGCACACGCACACAGGGTGGGAGAGCCTTAATCTTTGCATCACACACCCAAGATCCAGACACCTCCAAAAAGCCCCACCTATGACTGCATGAAGCTTTGGGGGGACATCTAGACACAA